TTATTCACGGTTACCTTTTTCGCGATTTCATTATTCGCGGGTAAAAAAATTGGAACCCAGTTCCTATATTTGCTGCTAAAAATTTCATTATTCGTGGATGCAATCGGTAAACAGAAAAGAATTCGGTGTCATTTATTAAGAGGATTGACTGCAAAAGACCGCTCGTGCCTAGTGTGAATTTTTCCGAAAACATGGCTATCTATTCTAAACATTGTGATTTAACGCTGCGAGATAAATATCCGATTTTTTGTATGGTAACAGACAGGTTCAGGTTCACACTAACTCGGTACGTTTTTGGTCTTCAATAATATGACCATTAAAAGCTTTTACAAGTGCTTAAAGTTGATGCTTCTTGTAGGACACGTATTTTCAATAGAAATTAAAAAATGGTCTTCGACAAGCTTTATAACAAAGCTTTATCTATCTTGCTTCAAAATTTCAAACCTCTGTTTGAATGAAATACTAAATTCATGATATCTAGAACCGATAAGCATGTACTAGTGGCGCGTGTACTACGAATCCCTTTAATGTATCGGCATCTTTTGAGTATGTACAGTTGGTACGTGCCGAATTCGGTGTTAGTTTTTAACGTAACAGTACTATTGGCTCGTGACGAAGCGACTTTTATAAAAATGTAACCGAGTGGACTAATTTCAAAATTCAAAACAAGAAAAAATCACCAATTTTTTTAAACTCTTGCGTAAAGCTGATTATAACGATTAATTTTAATTGCGAATTTATCAATACATTGATTTTATTATGATACATGTTGGTTTTATTTTGAAACCTTAGAACGTATCCCCTATAATTCCATACTAATTACCATTCCATATCCACGGTTTCTGTATTCGCGGCATATTTATGGAGCGTATACCTCGCGAATAAAGAGCTTTTACCGTATACGAAAACTTTGAACTTCCGGTTCAGACAGTCAGCATCTACATTTCCTAACAGTAATTAATAGGTAAGTGACGATAATACGATGCGTGTTGTCATCATGTACTATAAGTATGATTAGGTAATTCGATCTGATAGTAGGTATTTAGTTCAACTACTTCCACATTTACCGCAGATTGTTTCGTTGCGAGATAATTACATACCTACATACTTGTTGTGACAGGTAAACAATCGCGTTTTATATGTATAACGGGATTATTAGGAAGCCATATGTACTTTGAAGCAAATAATGTAAACCAACGTGAAGGGTCTATACATTTATACAGATAACAACATTTATGAAAATATATTGCAAGAAACGCTGCAGGCGCATAGTTTGAGGTAACTTTTTTTGCAAACAAAACCAATAGTTTTATGATTAGGTAATTATTTATAAGTTCATTTGTTTGGAAATTACATCACTCTATACCATTCTATAGTGTACCTAGGTACATAAGTACCCATGTGTATCGCTACTAGTCTAAGTTGTTACTTACACATACGTATACCTTCTACAAAGTGATTGCTACGTATCTGTAGTTGTATTTTTGAAGGAAACTATTAAATAATTAGGTATCTCACTTGAATAATAAGTAACTATGATAAAACTTAATGTAATTTATTTTATTGAGAAAATACCAAAAACACTTTATCGTAGCAACGGCCATCGAACAACTAAACTCAAGTAAAGTAGTTTACATTACATAGGTGTGGCGCGATACAAATTTACTACCAACTATTAATGTAAAAAAGTGATTTCTAATTTCTTCCATTCATTGTTGTATTTTTGGATCGATAATGTGCAAAATTAAACCGAATTTTATAACGAATTAATTTTTGTATGAACTTTATCCAGACAATGTTTCAAAAGTAAAATACAGTGGATTTCGGGTATAACGACGGCCAAGGGAGCACTGTAATTTGGTCGTTATATCCGGAAGCCGTTATAGGCAAAGGTAAAATGTTACAGATACGTATATATAGTTTTACCATTTTTCAATTTTAAAACAATTTTCGCTTTTTTTAACAGTAAATGTGCATCTACGAGTCATACTTATTCAAAAGTTTACTAAACAGAGTTGCTATTCAGAATATCACACTGTAAATGAACCATTTTAACATACAGGCTTACCTACTTAACCAGCTATCATCTATAAACATACGGTACAGGTAGCGTTGCCACCTTTTCAGGCTTTACACAAAGTATNCTACTTTGAACAGATTTGGGAAATCAGGTCGTTCCGTAAATATGGCTTGTCATTTTTCTGTGCAATATTATTGATGTAAAAATACTCTGAACTTCGAATAATCGCTTACAAAATTACGATGTTTACTTAAGGCCTTAAATAAAATATTTTTGCGTACTTTATGTGTGTTGTAAAGTATAACGTACGCACAGTCGAAATAGAGTACAATACTTTATAATAAAGTACGGGTGGCAACCCTAGGTACAGGTCACCATACTTGCTGACCATCTGTGTGGATGTAAACAAAAGATAAGAAAGCTTTTTGTATCTTTAGCGGCCTACTCCGGTCGCTATATCCTCATGGGATTACTAAGGATTTGTAACAAATGATTCATTAAAAACAGTCGCAACACCCGAATTCGGCGTTACATCCGAAGTCGCTGTAACCACATGAATTTTGTACTAATGTGTGCATTAAATTTAAGGGATTTAGATTTAACGTCGCTAAAGTAAAATGGTCGCTATAACCAAGGTCGTATAATAAATGAAATCCACTGTAATCTTATTTTTTATCATCCGGGTTATATACCTAAATACGACCAGATATTGCGTCATTATAAGAATATACACAGAAAGGCGGAAATATGGGGACCCGCATACCTTATTGGTAGCTCTATTTGAATTTCAACATATCAATACAGTCAACACTTGAAGCATTTATACAATTAACTTTGCTTCGCCCCAAAGTACCCCGCACAATTGTTATGGAACATCGGCTCCGTTCAAATTGGCTGCAACTGGAGTATGATGTTCTTAAGTCACGAGATCAAAACAAAAAATTTCTGCGCTACAGATCCCAGCAACGCACGATTTTTAGCTTATCTAATGTACAACTGATAGTAGGGTATTTAGTCAATTTTCTCTTCAAGCATACATAACAAATTAAATACCCATTATATCATGCTTTGCTGCAGTACATACAGGATACAGGCAGTAGATGAAAAACGAGGAAAGCATACTTAAAATTGAAGACGAAACAAAACTGACAGTGCAGGCATTTATTTGATGAGTTATTATTGACAAACTGGTTGAGCCAGTCCATATTTGGACGGTGGTACTCAGTGGTGCATAGTACTTCATAACATATCATTTAAAGAAACGATTCCTATTATAACCTAACCTTTGAGCCCTTGGTGGTTCTACATCACACCTTATAAAGGCTAATCAGGGAATTCTACCTTACCACAACCTAACCTTAGAGATCAAGGCGTAAGTATAGCAATCCATACCGACTTTCGACTTTCCGTTCGATTAATTCCGTTTCGCAAGTTAAAAGCAAAAGCAAATACACGGTACATGGCAACGACAACACTACAAGAAAACAATGAGTAAAAAGTAAATAAACAGATTTAGAAATTGTAGTGAAAATAAAAATTCCAGGGGTGAAATTGTCGTTTAAAAAACGCATCCTACGTCCTTGTTTTTAGACATTTTTTGGACATTTCTATAAACCTTAGAGTACCTGAAGAGATAATCGATTAAATATCGAACGTTTGATCATAATAGACGTCACACTCCAATTGCAGCTAATTTGATCAGTTCCGATTGCTACGTTTCCTTTTAAAATATATTGATAAACAATTGACATTGTTGTAATGTTTGGGCTTTTCAACTTCGTCAACTTATAAAATATCTGGCTATTTTATAATGCTTGTTTGTAATTCAAATAAAACTCTCCAAATCCGGCGTTATAAACTTAATGCTTTTTCCATGCAGACTAGCCGTAAGATACGGATTATCCATACAGTTCTGCCTCTTTTGGAAGCGTTCGCCATTCCCAGAGATCGTGTCAGTTCTCAGTTTTATAAAGTACACGTTTAATCGTCATCAGCTGAATACTCATAAAGGTATGACTAACAAATTGAAATTGCAGGATTCTAGTAGTTCTCGACGCATAGATCAATAGTTTCAATGGGCGTTAAGCCGTGAAGCTTAATCTTTTTGATACATAGTCCCTTAATGCTGCATTCCTTCTAGATACAGTTATACGTACTGAATACTTTCAAGTACACATATATGCAATTGTTGATTTAATATACCTATGTAGTCAATACGTATAATTGGTATAATTGTGGCTTGGAAGAATGCAGCTTTAAGAGTTCATATATATCTCAATAAGAAGAGTTTTTACGTTTTAGCGTTCATGTGCGATGTGACTTTTGATCTGCATGTCGAGAACTAGGTACCAGAATCCGTTCAAGTTTCAATGAGTTTGACAGAGAGCCATTTTCCGTAAGGATCTAATTCGGTTTTTTGTATATTAGTTCCGTTTTTGTCTTTTGAATTACGTACTTCTAAACCATTTCATTGCTGCTTATTATGTGTTTATGATTCTTTTATTACATGGATTGTTTGACCTTTCGAAACAATCGAGATGATATACCTAGATTAAGATCGACCGAGAACAAAAAGTAATGTGAAATCTTTACGAGTTAAATTTGTATCCGGTCTTTTCAATTTTCAACAGCAGGTTCAAGTGGAACAGGCGAAGGTCACATCGCACTTTTGGCATCTTTGTTTTGTTAGTGTTAACATTTTAAATTACATCTTATAATTAGGTAATATAACGATTGTAAATAAACGTCCGACCGTTCAATGCAGCATTTTAGCATAATTGCGTGCAGTTCAACTGGAAGGTACAGTAATTTTGTGCATCTTGTTAAATCTACCTGCTTATGTATGTACGTATAGGTAATCCACACAAACTGATGTAATAACTTTGAGCGATAGAATTATAAAAATTATAATTAAAATGAGCGCAAGGTATAAATTAACGCGTTAAAAAATTCCCAACATTATTCTATCCGTAGTCCGGAACAGAATACATGATCAAGTGGTGTTAATTTTTGTATTTTGTTCAACTATGCTTAAGCAGCAGATGATGATGTGCGTATCATTTTGGCTTCTAGTGTTTGTGCACGTTTGTTGTTATGTTTCTACTGAAGCGAAACCTAATATTATTCTTATAGTGGCTGATGATTTGGTAAGGCTATCAAGACGTTTTTGTTGATTTTCGGAAATCGAATTGAGATTAAGTAGTGAATAACGAGCCGCAAACAGGCCCAGACTGACAGTTTTTTGAATAACTAACAAAATTAGTAAAGTTTTAAGAAAGAAATACAATGTTACATTGTTGTCTCGATCCTACGCAGGAATTAAATAAATAATTAATAGTTTATTTAAAACTAGCTTTTCCCAGCGGCTTCGCTCGCAGAAATTAACATTGTTTCTCCATAAAATCTTTTAACTCCCAATTCACCCTTACAACGTTTTAATTTTAGGTAATGTCGCCATCTTAGATTTCAAATAGAAATACAAACGTAGCAACAACATTTCATCTTTAAGGGTTGACTTTTAAAAATTGCTTAATTTCAACAATGAGCAGCCTTCGAGTAAATACGAGTACAAATAAAATATACCCCATGGAAACGTTGCAATTTCTTCTCATTTGAATAATAATATCAAACAGCATATATACAAAGTTTCAAGTAAATTCAACCACAAATAGAGTATGTCCCAAACAAAAATTGCAACACCTTTTTACCCCTCCCCCCCTTTGGAGGTTGAATTTTTTAAAATGTCGAAATAGGTCTTTCAGAAATTAAACGAGAGACCATTAAGACCAAGTTTCAAGTAAATCTCACCACAAATAATATATGTTCCATTTAAACATTGATTGAATTTTTTAACCAGTTTCAAGTAAATCGGACCAAAAACAAACATGCAATCTTTGCAAACCCCTTTCAGCTTCCTAAAGAGGTAGAATTTTGTAAAATGTTGAAATAGGCATGTATGTCACTAATTTTATATGAAAAAGCATTAAAGCCAAGTTTCAAGTAAATCTGATTAAAAATAAAACACCATACTTAACCATAGACAACATTACGTTTAGCTGTCAGTCGCGTTTTGTTATTCCATGTTAGTTGCGTTTTGTTATACTATTTTTAACAAATGAACGGCTAGAGTGATGTTTTGACTGATAAATCTTTTGTTTTGCTGTCAGTTGCGTTTTGTCATTTCATATCAGCTGCGTTTACATATACCACGTTTTTTTTCCATGGAAACGGGATAAAAATTATCCTATGTCCGTCTCCTGGTTCTAAGCTACCTCCCCACCAATTTTCAGCCAAATCGGTTCAGCCGTTCTTGAGTTATAAATGATGTAACTAATAGGACTTTCTTTTATATATATATAGATAAGCCAACTAAGATAATTTTCTTTTTGCTTTAGACCAGTAGATACCTGAACTCTTAAACTATTTTAATTACGTATATTATTATTGGTGATTAATTTGCGAATATAACGGGATAATCTCGTTTGTCAAACAGGGTTGGAACGATGTGGGCTTTCACGGTAGCAATCAAATCCCGACGCCGAACATAGACGCATTAGCATATAATGGCATTATCCTGAACGAGCACTACGTCCAGTCGTCGGGAACGGCCACCAGGTCGTCCCTCTTCACCGGGAAATATCCCATCAAACTTGGTTCGTTGAGCTAATACTCTTTCGCCTTAAGACGTTTCATCTCAATCTATTTACGTGACACATACATAGATACAACATCTATCTATTTAGTTCCGCTACAACACCCGTTCCTTGTTGTTCTGTCATGAAATTCAAATTGAAAATTATAGGCATTGGCATAAGTTAAGGGTCCCGTAGGAAAAATTTCCATTGAAGTTCAATGGGAATCAATGGAAAATTTGTAAATTCCATTCAAAACCATTTGGCATAAATGGAAAAATAATTGTTTGCATTTACAATATAATTCCATTAATATTTACATAGGAAAAATTTCCATTGATTTTCAATGGGAACCAATGCAAAATTTGTTAATTCTATATAAAACCATTCATAAATAAATAGATGGATAAATAGAAAATCAATTGTTTCCATTTTGAATAATTCCATTAATATTCTTATCGTTAGATATGAATGGAAAAGTTTTATTNAAAAATTTCCATTGAACTTCAATGGGAATCAATGAAAAATTTGTAAATTCCATTCAAAACCATTTGGCATAAATGGAAAAATTAAATGAATGGAAAATTTTAATTCTCAAACAATTCCAATGAAATAATTAATTAATTAAATTTTTAAATTTTTCCTACGGGGGCCTTTCCAAGTTATATTATTTTTTAGATATCTATTCCTATTTTATTACTTTTCGATTTGCAGTATAATGAATTTTTAAAATTTCTGAAATATTCATTAGACCAGCGGTTCCCAATTTTTTTTTCTACGGAACCCCACCTTGACAAAAATTTAAACTGATAAGTAGTAATTTTATGTTAAGATCCCTGGCACCTTGTGTACATGTTGCAATTTTCGTCTTGAATTTTTAATTCAAAATCTTGATCGAACGTATATATTTAAGGTGCACATTTTAACTTACATTAGCATTACAATTAGCTTTAATGTCCTCTAATTGAATTCGAATATCTTTAGCGGTATCCAGTCTAGTTCTGAATTTGTTTTTAGTGTATGCATAAACTGAATAGTGGAGTAAACGAAGGTTTTCACTGCGGAAAATTTTGTAACCAGGTAGACTTTGGTGAACAACATTCTTCAAGTATGCTTAAATAACGTAGTGAAAAGTCTACTGAAAAAAGTATCATTTTCTCGAAGCACTGCATTTTTAAATAATTTTTTTAAATACTTTACTTAGCTTGAAAGTGGACCATTGTATGAATTAACGATTAATAGTAAAAATTATTGTAAAATTAATAATTTATTAAATATAATATTTGGATATCATATTTAAAGAGGGTTTAGCCGAAAAACATAAAAAAAGTATTTTAGAAAATTCTGACCTTTAGACTTGATACTTTTTCGAAAACAAACGTGTCTTCTGTTGTTGACACTAAACTTCAATCGTCAATATCAAAGCTTATTATCGTGATATCAGCACTTTATAAGTAATCAAATTCAAGATGAACATGTGTACTAAAGCCCCAATGATTTCTATTATGATACATGAGCGTTTTTATTATTTTTTTACGAATAAGTCAAACTGTACTTTTTAAAAGAAAAAGATTTGAAAGTTTAACATTATCAAAAGTAGTATGTTAAATCTACCTGCTTATGTATGTTCGTATAGGTAATCCACACAAACTGATGTAATAACTTTGAGCGATAGAATTATAAAAATTATAATTAAAATGAGCGCAAGGTATAAATTAACGCGTTAAAAAATTCCCAACATTATTCTATCCGTAGTCCGGAACAGAATACATGATCAAGTGGTGTTAATTTTTGTATTTTGTTCAACTATGCTTAAGCAGCAGATGATGATGTGCGTATCATTTTGGCTTCTAGTGTTTGTGCACGTTTGTTGTTATGTTTCTACTGAAGCGAAACCTAATATTATTCTTATAGTGGCTGATGATTTGGTAAGGCTATCAAGACGTTTTTGTTGATTTTCGGAAATCGAATTGAGATTAAGTAGTGAATAACGAGCCGCAAACAGGCCCAGACTGACAGTTTTTTGAATAACTAACAAAATTAGTAAAGTTTTAAGAAAGAAATACAATGTTACATTGTTGTCTCGATCCTACGCAGGAATTAAATAAATAATTAATAGTTTATTTAAAACTAGCTTTTCCCAGCGGCTTCGCTCGCAGAAATTAACATTGTTTCTCCATAAAATCTTTTAACTCCCAATTCACCCTTACAACGTTTTAATTTTAGGTAATGTCGCCATCTTAGATTTCAAATAGAAATACAAACGTAGCAACAACATTTCATCTTTAAGGGTTGACTTTTAAAAATTGCTTAATTTCAACAATGAGCAGCCTTCGAGTAAATACGAGTACAAATAAAATATACCCCATGGAAACGTTGCAATTTCTTCTCATTTGAATAATAATATCAAACAGCATATATACAAAGTTTCAAGTAAATTCAACCACAAATAGAGTATGTCCCAAACAAAAATTGCAACACCTTTTTACCCCTCCCCCCCTTTGGAGGTTGAATTTTTTAAAATGTCGAAATAGGTCTTTCAGAAATTAAACGAGAGACCATTAAGACCAAGTTTCAAGTAAATCTCACCACAAATAATATATGTTCCATTTAAACATTGATTGAATTTTTTAACCAGTTTCAAGTAAATCGGACCAAAAACAAACATGCAATCTTTGCAAACCCCTTTCAGCTTCCTAAAGAGGTAGAATTTTGTAAAATGTTGAAATAGGCATGTATGTCACTAATTTTATATGA